ATGTCTTCAAGAGTTCTACCTAACTTATCTTCCAGCAAGTTTAGTGTTTCTGTTTTAATATGTAGATCTTTAATCTACTTTGATAGAAATGTAATATTTTTGTTTGTTCCCTGTGACCTTGATGAACTCACTTATTAGTTCTAGGTGTTTTTTAATCTTTGTACATTGCTTAGGCTTTTCTCCATGTACAATCATGCCATCTGCAAAAACAGTTTTCTTTCTGACTTTATGATCAGTGTGCCTTTTATTTCCTTTGCTCACCATATTGCCCTTGCTCTAATTTCCAGCACTCAGTGACATAAGATTGAGGAGCATTGACATCCTTGCCTTGTTTCCAGTTGAGTGGAAAAGCATTCAGGGCTTCACTAGTAAGTGTAATGTTTCTGTAGGATTTTAAGCAGATGCTCTTTTTCCAGCCCATTTTTCTGAGCATGTTTTTCTTTTTATCTTGAATCATTTAATTTTATCAAATGCTTTTTCAACATCAATTGAGATGGTCATATTATTTTTCTGCTTCAGCCTGGAAAAATGGTAAATTACATCAATTCATTTTCAAATAGTGAATAAAGTGGGACCCAACTAGATCATGATGTATGATTCTTTTTATATATAGCTTAATTATTTTACCAATTTTTTTGCTTAAATTCTTTTATTGGTACATTTTAGGTATACAATACGTTTACATTTATCATTTGGTGCTTATACCTGTACATGATGTATCTTGGTTCCTATTTTTTCCCCATTATCTGTGCGCCCTTCACCCCCTCCATCTTTCATGATTGATAATGTTGGGCATTTTTTCTAGTGTTTGTGGGCCATTCATAAATCATCTGTTAAGTCATTTGTCATAAACTCTTTCTCATCATTATTTGGTTCCACTGCATGATGAACTGAAATCCATGTATTGAATTCCTTATTGACACATATTTAAATTTTCTTAATGTATATTATTTTACCTGACCAAAATGACTAACTTTATATACCTTTATGTCAGTGAACCAGTGTTTCTAGTGCCTTGCCTCTGTAACCACATTTTGAGCATATCTGCAGGAAGGAATGAACATTTTCCCCAACAAGGGAAAAAGGGATCCATCATAATGCCAGCATCATAGGTGCCCTATGACACAATTGCTCTCTCCCCTCTTCTGTTCTTCCTGCCAACTTGTGGAGGAGTATAGACTCATGTCTATAGACTCATGATGCAACCATTTAGACCCTAACCCATGGCGATTTAGGGGATCACAGGCCTGAGGGGATTTGAGGAATCAATCTGCAAGTCAGGGGTCAACACTTTGAGTCAACCAGTGCCCCCCAGAATTGGAGGCAGGGGAAGGTAGATTTTCACAGTTAATCAGAGAATGGGCCCTATGTCTAGGGATGCTGGGTAAGGAAAAAATTAAAAATTGGTACTGAGCTGTACCAAGAGCAACCCATATAAACCTCCCTCCTTTGACTTTGATTACAGAAGGGTGTCCAATTTAGAGAAACCGTAACCAAATATGATGCAAAAAATTTGAAAAAGAAAGCCATGAAAAAGGTAAGGCCCAAGAACATCAACCCTAGCCAGAGGTAGGTGGTGCCAGTTTCCAAGGCTAGGGGTGTCCTCTGACTTCACACATCTCTGACCCTTGTCACCAGACTTATGTTGGTCTTCTCTGTGGCTCACAGTATTGAATGGCCATGGAATATACTGTCCAAAATAAAGTGCTTTTATGAGTAAATTGTGTTCCTATTAACTATTATTCAAAATAACCACTAGAAACCAAAAAATGTCCCAGTAAATCTGCAGAAGTGGGTGTCTTATCCAAGGCTGGATGAATAGGGATTGACTCATGCTTTGCTGTTTTATTCTCCAGTTGCTCTATCAGCCTGAGAAAGGCAGATAACAGGCAGGCAGTCTTGGTTGGGGAAGGAGAAACTCTGAGGAGTGGGAGCTTGAAAGTTGGGGAGTAGCGTCATGAGGGCTGTTTGGGGAATGCATGGCCAAGCTAAGGGACACTAAGCTAAGCCCAGATTTCTGCGGGAGCATGTACACATGTGTGCATGCATGTGTGTGTTAGTAGAAGTTTAAGGTGTGGGCCAAAAGCAGTGACTGTGAGAAACAGATGAGAAAGGCCCCAAAATGTGTGGAGCAGGGAAACTTTTTTTTTTTGTACCTGGGCTTGAACTCCAGACCTTCCACTTGTGAGGCAGGCAGCGGCACCAATGAGCTAAATCCCTGGCCCAGGGAAACTTTTAATATCAGGATTCAACAGAGGGAGGAGCAGGCCGTGGATGGGGGTGGAGTCAGGGAAGAGAGGGCAGGGGGAGCAAAGGATGCCACTCCCCAGCAGGTAGGAGGGTCTGAAGGGCAGGTGAGGGGTGCTAGGTAGGTGGTCAGACCCAGGTGGAGCCTATGGATCACAGGATTCTTGCTCCAAACTGGCCAACCAGGTCCATGGAAAACCAGGTGAGATAGCGAGAGCAGGAGGGCTCACATCTAGGAATGGGGACGCTGAGACCCAGCGGTGGAGGTGTGTGTGTGTCCATTAACTGACATGGCAGAGAGGAGCAGCCAGAGGTAGGCACCTTCCTGGTCTCCAGTGTCTGTCTACCTGCTGCCCTGCACAGGATTCTTGGACTTAAGAGGAAGAGATGATGGTTGACAGAGGATCAGGGGACTTTCTTAAAATACTCTGGGACTAAAGTTTTGGAGAATATGTATTGAAGTGTCCTTGTTCTTTCCTTGAAATTCCTTCTCTTCAAAGAAGGTGGCACCTGCTGACATGGTACAGGCAAGCACAAAGATCCAAGCCTGGTGGCGGGGCACGCTGCTGCGAAGAACACTGTTACATGCCACCCTCAGGGCGTGGGTCATTCAGTGCTGGTGGAGGCAGACACGAGCCAGGCAACTGGAGAAGAAGAAGTGGGAAGCACTGGAGCTCTACAAGCGGCAAATCTGGGCAACTGTAAAGCTGCAGTCTTGCATCCGAATGTGGCTCGTCCGCCAGCGATACTGTGATATGCTCAATGCGGTCCGAAATATGCAGAACTGTTGGCATGGTCATATTTGCCAATTCCATGACACTTTTCAGGGCAGCTATGAGCTCACAGGAAGCCACCTACAACTTCAGCTTGATATCTTCCTAGGATCTCAAGTTTGTCGCATTACAGACTGCATCCCTTTTCCAATAAAGAACTGACCAGGTCTGCTCTGAATACTATATGTGTCACTACATATTTTTTAGACAAGCCGCTGGAGGTCCCTCTCTTGACAAAGTGTCAGAGAAAATAATGACAGATTAAAGCTTCCCTCAAAATTTTGCTCTGGGTGATCAGCAGGGTATGCCTGGGGCTCTGGGGGCAGAAGGGTGTGAGAGCCTCATGTGGGATGAGCAGGGCCTGTGGTGATTAGCAATGTCTGCCCTAGGTAGGAGGGTTTAGCTGCAGGGTCACCAAGGCCACCAACTCTAGAGAGACTCCTCACTGCTGTCTATATAAATGGCAGCCCTGAGCTGTGTGCCATTCTTTGCTTTTCATCCTCCAAAGCCTTCCCACTCAATTGAGAATGAGGTGAAAAGTCCTCCTCCTTCCCCCTCGTGGTTCTCGTGACCCTGACTGCTCTGGCCCTGACCACTGCACCCTCCTGAGGTATTCCCTGGATGCTCTGCTATTCATCAGACCTCTGGAGCAGGTCATGCTAAGCATGCTCCTTCTCAGGACTTTGCACTCGCTGCCTGCTTCGTTGGGGGTCCTCTTCACGTCACTCAGCTTTGTCTCTGCACAGGTCAGTTGCTCTTCCCTTAGGGATTCCTTTGTCCTCCTAACTTCAGTGGCTTTCCTTTTGGTTCTGTTTTCTATGTGCAAAGTTCTCATCACAAGCCAAAGGTATTTCACTTTACTGTCCATCTAGTTTTTTTATTAGTTTTTATTTTTATTTTTTTATTATTTTTTGTTAAATTCTTTTATTGGTACATTGT